ATGAAGAGCACGCATTAGGGATGATGATGAACAGGGTTTTGTGGGTGCTTGGGAGGTTAAGATGAGAGGGAAATTAAAGAGATGGATAGAACTAGAGGGGTCGATTCAGAGAAATTGAAAAGGGAGAGAAGGAAATGAAAGAGAGTGGCCAAGTAAGGGGGATGTTGGGTAGATCATCGCTGCTAATAATTGCAACAACGATTGAGAAAACCAGAGAAAGCCAGAAACCTATCCTATCGAGTGTGATTGTGTGAGATATGTTTGGCAAGGGTGTCCATGGTTCGGTTAACCATGGCCYTTTTTTTTTAAAACTGAACGGTGGTACCAGTTTTTCCATTTCTCCAAACCAAAACCAAACCTGTACCACCGGTTAACCAGCCCGCTGGTTTCGGTTTTTGATCGGTTCAGTTCTTCGGTTTTTCGATTTTTTATATTTATAATATATATTATATAAATATATGTATAATATTATATTATAAATAATAAATGATATATAATATATTATAAATATTTTTAAAATATATAATATATATAATATATTTATAAATATGTCGTTATTAATATAATATAAGTATATATTTATATATATATATAATGAATATATATTTATATATAATACATAGAAAATATGTGATATATTAAAAATATATATATAATATACATATAAATATATATACCGATCGATTCGGTTATCGCTGTTTTTTATGTGGGTTAACCGAAAATTGAACCGGTTCTTTGGTTTTTCAAAAATTCTGAACCAAAATCGAACCAATCGATTCAATTGCATTTTGTGATTCACTTTTCGGTTTTTCATGGACACCCTTAATGTTTGGGTGAGCCGGTCGTGGACTTCGTTGCCCAACAAGAAAGAGAGAGAGATGGGGGAGAATCAGAGTTAGAGATAAGAGAGAAAAACCACCGCCTAAGGTTGTAGTGGCGTCTATGAAGGTGAGGGGAGAAAGTGAGAAAGAGAGAAAGATTTTAAAAGGTATTTTTGGAATTTTTGAAAAAAAATCAGACACGTGATGAGTGTGATGAAAAGTTAAGAGTGAAGAAAGTTATATACAATTATCAGAAACACTATGTGTATTTTATGATAATACTGAAACAGGGTAGAATTAGAGTTATTCAATTTCCTAAGGTTAAGAAATTTGCCGTTTATAATATGTGAATAATGTCATGTGAAGTCCACTGGAGGTCCGGAGCGGAGTATTTTTGTTCATCTTCCGAACGTAAGGATACCGACATGTGAAACTCTGGAGAGTACAAGCGGCTTTTCATAGTACATACWGCCTACAGGTAGTAAAATGATAAACCCCCTTAGTTCAGGGGGTGTTTTGGAGTTTACCCTTAAAGCTGAAACGTTGCCATATCTACTAAAATACGCACGTAGAGCACTTGCGCCCAATTTGAATATTTTGAACGTTACATATATCTTGGACGCAGTCACGCAGGAGGGTTGAGGTTAAACGCTGAACGCTTTAGAGAGAGAGAGAGAGAGAGGAAATCGTGGAGGATATGAGACCTAGAATCTGTTCGGTGTCTCCTGAATCGCCCCGGTCAAAAACTTCATTAATTTTTATTGAAAAACCGATATGTTCATTAATTTTATGTAATTACCGAGAATAAGAAAAATCTCCCGCGGCAATATTGCCAACCCAAGTGCTCCCCGCCAAACCCCACAAATTTGGAACCCACTTATTGGGTAAGACACCTTCAAAGTTCAAAATGCCTCCCAATTTATTCGGAGGAGTTTCTGATGGAGAATCGTTCCACTTTCTTCTCCTCTCATCTCCTTCCCAAACATGGCTACCTCTGTTAATGATTTCTTCTCCTGAATGCCGCTGTATTGTTTGGGGTCTTCTTCGTTCTCTGGATTCTGGACGACGGCCTCCGCTTCCCTCTTCTCACTCATTCCTGGTCTCGGGCTTCGTGGGCCTTGCAAAATTACAGCTCTAGTTATTGAAAATTCAGAGCTTTCAGGGTGATTTCGCCATCTGGGTTCTGGTAGGTTTAATGTTCCACTTCTCTTTGAATGAATTTGAGACTAAGGTGGTCAATGAAATTTTGTCTTTTTGGGCTCTTGTTATCTTATGTTTTTATGGTCCTTTTCAGGGAGGTGAAGCCGAGCCAGAGATGTATAAATCTATTGAATGATTCAGATTTAAGTTTTTGAAGGTTTCTCTGATTGTATTCGATTTTGTAGCCTGTGAGGGAATTCGGGGTTGAAAGAGCAGCATTTAAGGAATTCGGGACAGTTTCTTGGGTTACTGGAATTCAGTAGTCTCAAGATATGAGTTGCTTCCCTTGTTTTTCTGGTGAAAAGAAAGCAGCAAAGAAAACAGGTAGCAGTAGAAGGTCGCAGTCATTAGAGGCCCCTATAAAAGAATCTCCTGCATGCCCAGTGTTTGGTGGTAAGTATTTGTTTTCCTTCCTCATTGAAATCCTTTCCTCACTTGTGCTCTTTCTTTTCCTAGCTCCTTTTCCAACCTTTTCTTTAGGACTGAAATTCATGAACCAATCATGCATATGTAAGGATCTCCTGAAAAACATTAGTCTTGGATTCACCATACATTCTTTTGGAGCTGGATTCAAAATGCATGCATAACTGCCTTTTTCATGTTTATACCTAATATGGTACACACCTTACCATGAAAAAGATTGAAATTGATATTGTATCAACCTTGAACAGATTCATTTGTAATTTTTTTGCATCAATTCTTTTCAAACTAGAATGTTCTAGTATTCTTTTAGTCCCTAAAATCTGTAGCTTTTTCTACCACGAAACTGGGCTAGAGCTTATCTTCATTTGTTAATCACCATGCATATCTGTATATACAATACCAGTAACCATATCCTTTCTTTTAGGCTATGTTTGGTTTGAAGGAAAAGGTAGGGAAAGGAAGGGAAAGGCAGGGAACCCTATGCAAGGTTTGTAAAGGTTTCCCTACCTTTCCCTTCCTTTCCCTACTTTTTCCTTCAAACCGAACACAGCCTTGGTGTATGTCATTCCATGCCCATATTTGACTCTTGATCTGGGAAAACACTCATTTAGAATACTGTGGGTTTTGCAAAATGTTTAATTATTAATTCTTATGAACTTCCTCTGGTATTTGCCAATATTTATAATTTTTCTTTTCTAAACAAAGACAGCTACTACATCAGCAATAACAATAGATTTTGCTAGTGTGGCAGATTTTTCTTTGTTTGARTAACAAAATCATACATATTACAAACACCCCCTTGGTTACTGTCTTATGTTTTCCTGCTACTTCCAGTCCTCTCATTGCAGGATTGGTGGTCAGTGTTCTTATGTACTGTGTAAAATTCTCACARGGAATGTGGGATTTCCTTTGTCTCAAGTAAAGCCAGTGTATATAACACTGAAAAACATTTTTTCATCATTATCAGCAGTATTTTCATCATCATCCAAGCCTTATCCCAATTATATGGGGTCGATTCCATGAATCTTGTATTTCCATATATGGAAATATTAGATGCAATCTGTTCTTCTTTTGCAAGCTTTCTACTATGAACTAGCTTACTCTCCTTGTCTTGGCTTGTAAAGAAACTCATTCAGCAATCTAAGTTAGATTCCACCTAAGACTCTTGGGTCCATTGATAAAACTCAACTACACCGATTTCCTCACCTTTTTCTTCTTTTTCTAGGATCATAATCAAATTATTTCTAAAACTTTATGCCCTTCCAAGTTTTTCCTTCCCTTCAGTCCATAATTCCATTACTTAGCATGACTCTAAATTAACTTAATTTGATCAAGTATGTGGAAACAATTGTGAACATTTAATTTCAGTATGAGAATTACTCAAGATGATTTAGAATCTCCTGTCAACTGGTGGTGTTTGATTGGAAAATCCCATCTTCATTCTATATATCATCTCATTTTTTGCCTAGTATATGTTTTAATTGCACTGTTTAAGGGTTACATCTCCTTTTATGATGCTATTTATCTCAAATCATGAGATAAATACGACATTGCCAAGGGAAAAAACAATGCCTACTTTTGAAGAGTTGAAGGATGTTACTATGATTTTAAAGTTGAAGATAACTGACAAATTAATAAATCTATGCTAATCAGCTTAATCTCACTTCAGAGAGATATCACATTCTTTCTTATTGGAGGCCTGCTTATCTGATCCTTTCTTTCTTTCTTTCTTTCGCAGATAAGGCAAAACCAACTCAATCAGGTGAAACCACAGACAAAAATGATGCTGCTAACAAAGATGCTAATGGTATCACAGCACAAACATTTACATTCCGTGAATTAGCAGCAGCAACAAAGAATTTCAAGCAGGAATTTTTACTAGGTGATGGTGGGCTTGGAAGAGTCTATAAAGGGAAACTTGAGAATGGTGAGGTAAATAAAATATCTATTTTATGCCTACTCTACAGTTCATCATTTCTTTTCTTTTTCTCCATGTTCTGTTCTTTTCTTCCTTTCTTTCTTTGTCCTTGGTAACTTTCAAAGATTGCAACACTGAATTGAGGGCATTGTGAACAGAAAGTTGCCGTGAAGCAATTAGACAGGAATGGATTGGAAGGAAATAAGGAATTCCTTGCTGAGGTTATGGCATTGAGTCTCCTCCACCATCCAAATCTGGTCAATCTCGTAGGGTATTGTGCTGATGGAGATCAGCGGCTTTTGGTGTATGAGTACATTCCAATGGGATCTCTAGAAGACCACCTACTTGGTACTTTTTCGTTTCTTCTTTAGTTTTTTGCCATGTAGTTTATGGTTGAAATAATCTATTTGAAATGCTTTTTCAGATTGATTCTGTTTATTACTCATAAACAGTATGCAGTTGTCTGTTGTTTATTCTTAGTTGGAGTTCTAGTTTTAGTCTACGTAGCAGTATCTCATTCAATTGTTATCTGGCAACCTGATAGATAACTTTCCACATTTGAATGTGCAGATACTTCAACAGAAAAAAAACCATTAAGTTGGTCTATGCGAATGAAAATAGCTGTAGGTGCTGCTAAAGGTCTTGAGTATTTGCATGACAAGGCCAATCCTCCTGTCATATATCGTGATTTGAAGACTTCTAATATCTTGATGGATGAAGAGTTAAATCCAAAACTTTCTGATTTTGGACTTGCCAATCTTGGACCTAATAGTGATAAGGGACTTTTACCACCAAGGGTGATGGGAACGTATGGGTACAGTGCTCCAGAGTATACTAGAACAGGCGAGCTGACTGTGAAGTCAGATGTATACAGTTTTGGAGTCATTTTCTTGGAGTTAATTACAGGGAGAAGAGCCTTAGACACCACCAAGCCAACTGAAGAACAAAATCTAGTTACTTGGGTAATTTTCCTTGCTTATCTTAAATATTTTCATCTTGAATGGATAAGAACAGTTATGCATAATGCATTTTATACATTTAAGCTTTATATTGTTCCCCACATGCATTTGGAAATGAAAGTAGTTAAGATCACTATGATTCTTGTGGAGCATGTAGTTAGTATTCTATTTTCATGAATTCTAAGTACATTGAATGGGTAATTCTAATGAAAAATGCTCCATTTATTAGAAACAATAGATATATTATTGTGTAAGCTAGAATGTAACAATTCCAGAGTATCCTTATTATTCATTAAGTATCCATTGAAATCACATTTCCATCATATTCTTCAATGACCCTTATGAAGCACAACTTAAATACTTCAAATGGAAAGGAGTTCGTGGTGACAAGCCAGGTGGATTTTGGGTATCTAAGCCATCTAGTCTCTCGAAAATATTTGGTGGTCCGTTGTTGTTTCCAACCAAAGACATTCATTTTCTTTTACTTTCCTAAAAATAAAAGTTGAAATATTTCCTAATTCTTCTCTATTGATTTSTATTGAGAAAGGTATCAATTCTAAGGAAATAAAGATAGGAGTGTTTAGTTTGAAAAGTCCCTAAGATGTATGAACAGTAGGGCTGCTCTTGAAAAAACCAAAAAACTGAGAAACCAAACTGAAAAATGCAAATAATATATATATATATATTAGATATATAAACATATATACATATATATATTTATAACTTTCTATATATAATAATCTATTTGTAATATATAATATATTTATAATATATATCATAAATATAAAAAAACCAAAAAACTGAACCAGTCRACCGGTTAACCTTTACACCTGTATACATATAAATTTATCCTTCTACATATATACAATTTATTTTTATATAATTATATATAATAGGAAATTTGGGCAACTAAAATGTATCTATGCTTATTTATCCACATTTCCTACACTATGCATTTAATAGACAATTCATGAAGTGACCAGCTATGAACATCCTAGAAATTTAGGTTTGCCATGATGTTGTGTCTTACAGATTAACATTTTTCCTGAACTTGCAATTATGAAGTTCATCTTTGTCCAAGTTATAAAAATTGATTGTTTTAGAACTACTTACTGTTCTCTTGAACCTTTAATTACTTACTAGGCTTTGTGTTTCCAAGGTGATTCTGTTTTTCTCATAATAATTCTCCTAATGAACACAGCCATATAACTTGTTTAATGGTCATGCATTTGTATGTTTAAAGGAAAAAGGACTTACTGTTGTTTACAACTTTACACTCATTTCTTTACACGAGTACCTTGGCTGTATTTCTGACAAGCCAGTGCACTAAGAAGATAATTGAAGAAAGAAAATAGAAAAGATTTTAGTGTTTGACTGTGTTGTTTTCATTAAGTTGCAATTACTGAACCTAATTGTTGTATTAAACAGGCCCAGCCCTTTTTCAAAGATCCAAGTAAGTTCCCTGCATTGGCTGATCCACTTCTTCAAGGAGACTTCCCAGTTACAAGTTTGAATCAAGCAGTTGCTATTGCTGCCATGTGTCTCCAAGATGAACCAGTTGCCCGCCCTTTGATGAGTGATGTTGTTACCACTCTCAGTTTTCTATCAGGGGATGATCTGGGATTACCTCTTCCTCCACCTCCACCGTCTGACGAGAAGTCATCTAGTCAAGAAGATGATAGTTCAGAAGAATAACAATGAGCTGTAGCAGAAGCAATTGAATTGGGTTCTTTTAATTGTAAAGTCTCCATCTTGCCCATGGTTGAGTATATGAAAAGTGAGGTTTTTTTTTTACCAACTCACATGTCTTGTGGCATATGGATATTTTTTCATGCCTGTTTCACAGTAATATGATATTTTGGTTGGAGTAGCACTGAGTAAGTTGAGTGAGGGTTAAGCTATGTACGGGGAAGCATCATTTTGAGTGAGTATAGCTTGTTGGACCATTTCCTATTTGCTCTCAATTCAAGGACTGTCACATATCCTTTTATATTGAAAGTGAATGAATTCAAAATGACTTGCCTTTGTATACCAGTTGGGTACTCTTTCAAGAAAACTGTGGCTTTTGTATTCTTTTACACCCATTACTAGAACCAAAGGGTTACTCAATTGGCACATAAACCATAGAATTGACACAATTATAAACAAGTTCTTGATATACATAAATTAAATATAAAATTGGTACATTGTGCTTTAGTTTATGAAGAGGAAAAATGCAGTTGTTGATATTGGATTTAGTCATTTAGCTCCACAAAAAGAATGGTGTGCATACTCAAAGAACACTTAGGCCCCGTTCCCTTTTCAGTAAGTTACTTACCTGGGTAAGTGTTTCCCAGGTAAATAAGGCAATAAGGCAATGACCATTTTAGCCAAAGAAAACTCTATAACTCATGCACAAATTAGGCTCAGGGGTTAAATATTTCCAACTTCACTTTAAGCTTGAACTGGACTCGGGCTTTAGGCCCAATTCCTACAGTTGGGCCTTGGTTGAGCTAAAACCAACCCAGTCCATCCGACTCACACCCCTGAAATAGTGGGATTTAAGAGTTCGAAAGTTAAATCAGTTAAATCATTAAGGTTATGTTTGGTTTGAAAGAAAAAGTAGGGAAAGGAAGGAAAATGTAGGGAAACCTTTACAAACCATGTATAGGTTTCCTTGCCTTTACCTTCCTTTCCCTACTTTTTTCCTTCAAACCAAACAGCCTAAATGGCACTTGGGTTACACTTCCCAATATATGCTAATCTAGCCTTGGATTTTTATTTTTTGAAAAACCAAAAATTAGACAAAATTTTAGGAGTCTTGAAACACAACGGAGAGGTAAGAGAAATTGCTTAGATGGACCAAGATAAGTATATAATATAGATATAAGTTTGGTAGTGTATAGTTACACCAAACATATATAACTGACAAGGAAATTCTGTTGTAATTTTAAGCTAGACTATTTCACAGAATTAAATTATGGGGTGAAATTGGAATTGTTCACCCCATAATTCTCTGGATTACTTCACTTGTCTCCATTATTGCAGTAAGTGGAACTTGGCAAAAAGCAGATCATCTATGTCTTAGAAGAAATTGAAATGATGGTTGAGGCAAAAACAAGTAGTTAATTCTGGGAAAGGCGGAAAAGGAATTCAACTCCAAATCCACAACAAATGTTAAGTGGTTATAAGGAAATAAAGAAAAGAAGAGTATGATCTTAGTTTTTTGCTTAATTTCCATTGATTTGGCAGACTTATTTTGGAGCCAAATAATAGAATCCAAATTTTCCTGAAAATTATGATGATCCAGCAGTGGTTTAGCACAACCGAAAATTTTGTTTCCCCTCCCAATAATTTAGCACAAGAAGAAGAAGAAAAGCATGTAGTAAATTTGCACAACTTTGTTGATTTCTGTATGTATGAAGTGGTGGAGTATACAATGATTTCACAACAGCAAGGAATTCCATCCTAATAGCTAGTGACAAGCCAAGCCAAGGACGTACGTTTCATGGGGAATTCAATCAGCTAGCAGGACCAATTCATCATCATCAATTCTCATCCTTCATTTTCTTTTCCTTGCCCAAAGAACCATGCATCCAGCACTTAATTGTGTATTGGTTCTTCCTCCAACTAGTGTCGATCAGTGTGGAATAATCATCAGTTGGGACCCCAGMAGCTCAGGTACATAACTTTTCTGAGAGACTCCTCAGCTTGCTTCATCTGTTGCTCGTCTCTACTCGCCATCACCAAGGAAGACGACAGGCTTCTCTTAGCCTGAGAGACCGATCGGAGATTGTTCTTGGCGTGCTGGTGTAACGATCTCAGAGTGTAATTCCACCTACAGATGCCTTGGTCTTTCAATGCCTCAACAGCTCCAACGCTGGCTGCCACAATCCACGCTCTGCTCGAAGAACTCATGTTTTCTTTGTTCTTGATCTTCTGGGTTTTACTTCTCTTTAGCTAATTATGAGATGATATGAGATGGGTTTGTTGGGTGATGCTTTGGATCGATGAAGAATTGCTAGCTCTCTATATAGAGGAGTGAAGGTGAATAAAGATGGTGCCAAAACCAGTGGCTACTTTGCCAGTGGTTTGGAACCAAAGCCAGTGGTTTTGGATTGGGTCTATTCCATTGTTATAACGCGACAAAGCAATAGCTGTGACTTGAATGGGGACACAAACAGTCCCCCCACTCCCACCAACCCACCAAACCTGAGCAGGGCTGAGGGTAGAACCAGTCATTTGGTAATAAAACCAGTGCCAACTTGTAGTCCCAGTGTGCAAGGCTGTGACCTGTGAGCCTCAGGTTTCATAACTAACGCTTTTGTCCCTACCACTGGAATTCTTCTTTCTTTCTCGCAGGATTATTGTGTGTGATTCCAAAATCAAGCAGTTTGAATAAGGGCTGGTTAATTACTTGATTGACAGCCGAAAGCTTTTTTTCCCATGTGGATGGTACCTTGTTTAGTAATTCAAGCGCCGAAATTTTTTACTAGAGAGTGATTACTTGTTTGGTGAATCTGATTTTGAAGGATGCATTTGACCAATTGAGTCAAAATCTATGGGTTGAATAACACTAAAAATAAATTAACATGATTAACCCAAATGTTTAAATTCATACATAAATATTCTAAAACAATCATAGATAAATAAAGGGTTGTTAATTTGTTATAAAGTCCCTTCTCCTTTTTAACCTTCTCTTAAATATACCCTGACTTTTCATCATGCCTCGTTATTATTTTTGAATGACAAAACCAGGGCTGTAAATAGATCATATAAGGATTTAGTACGTGTCTGCCTTATTGTGTTTAAAATGACAAAAAAAAAAAACAAATATTAAAAAAATTAATTATTTTAGGGTTCGACTATGATATAAAAAAAATATCATATCGGAAAAACAATTGACCAATAAATTGAAATCATATAAGTGGTAGCGAATCAGGTGTCAACATTAATGGTTCGGATGTAAACAAAAAGTTTAAGTTTCATTTAGATTGGATTCATTTAAATTAAGAAGTGATCATTAGCACCGAAGCCTTGGTTGCTAGATACCACAAATAGGCCTATTTCATGTAGATCTCCATCGTTGCCATTGTAGATGATGATGGAACAAGAAAATCTCCACATACATTTTCTCAGCTCCATTTCCGCAAAAATGTAGAGTTTAAGATTTTGCAAGTTGCAGACATGCATTTACACTAATAGAAATAAAACACATTTTAAGGACGTATTGTTGGAGCAAATAAGATTAGGCTTTGATCTCAAAACTACAGCTTGTATTTAGCGCTTGATCAGTATTTAGAAATGAAAATCCTAATTTTATTTATCAAAAGAGAAAAAACTCTTTTCTCTAACTATATGTTTCCCGATTTGTTAAAAGGGTGTCCTTGTTATGTTTCTTTAAAATCTTGGTGATGAATTTTTTTGAAGTTGCAGGATCTTAATTTGGAGTTGAATCAAGACGTCCAAAATTCGATTTTGGAGCCATAGAACTAGGGCTTCTAAAATTGGGGAGATAGGGTTTTCCTATGGGAATCATCTGATATTGAAAGTAAAGAAGAATCTAAACTGTTGGAGATTGAAGGATCTCCTCTTTGTGAACTAGAATGAAGATAGCAGTTGTAGCCATCGCTCATCGTCCCTCATTGAGATAGGGCTGGAGTCGCATATGTGTCTTTCAGGTTAGGCAGTTAGCAAAGAGGAGTGAACAGGGGATAGGTTTAGATGTTAGATGGAACCCAAAAAGACTGGAGTTGCATATTTGTCTCAGGGTTAAAAGTCAAAACAAACCAGAGATAGTGTTCAGGAGGAGGAAGAGAGGATGAATAGTAAGTTCCCCTCCCTTCTCAATTCGATGAAAAGGGGCAATTTAGTCAAAAAAAGTCCTACTTACTGCAATATATTTCAAAACATATCGGAAGTTGCAAATTTATGAAACTTTATTATTTTTCTTGTAAAAAGCCCTATAATAAATGTATGTATATAAATATAAAATATTGAACTTATTAATTATAAATTTAATTCAATTGTCTAAAATGTCTATATACATAATTATACTAATTATAATCATAATTAGACTCTGATTTTAATTGGATCAAATCCGATTATTAATTGGATGCATGTTTTAACATCAAAATCCAGGAAAACCAGATCGGATGTCAAATGGAATATATGGCAAAATACATCTAATTTATTTATTCTCTCCCTCATTTCATGTTCACTCATCTTACAACCTGCAAACATTTCGATTCAAGTGAATTGATGATGAACCTATTTTAAGGAGCTTCATGTACATGACACATAAACACGGAATGAACTGAATGAGGTAACATGTCATCCCAATTATTTATTTATTTATTTTGATTAATCATACTCGGAACCTAACTATTACAAGGTTTGGGTTATAATCAAGCTTGGTTCTAGGTCAGTTGAACCCTATTTTACATAACTGCTTTACGTCTAGAGCATCAAAATTGGTTTTTGTAATCCATTTAGAGGTTAGATTTTGGACTTTATTTTACTGTATAAATTCTTCATTCAATTGGGAACCCATTAAATAAGAATTTGGTTGTAAGAAGGGTTTGTGGATGAACAGGTGAATGCACATCAACAAAACCTTAATTTGCTCTTGTGATTAACAATATTGTAGGCAAATTAAATCCAAGGTGAAATAGATTTATTAGAGAATAGGGAATAAAGTCTCTCTCCAGGTGTTAATTCAGGTCATGTTTGGTTCAATTCTCATTCTTTCTTATTCTTACCCAAGATGAAATTCTAGAATGGAAAAGAATGGATATAAATAGACAGAATGAGAAAATATTACTATGAACCAAACACTTTTTTACTAAAAATGATTTCTTTTCAGACCGACAAGTGTCATATATTGCTCATTTTCATTCTTAAAAAAAAAAAATTGTGCCGGTATTCACAAACCGCCAACCTAGGTTTCCAATAGTCAATGCTTATCAATTGGCATAGATGTTTTGTAAAAGTACTTTTATAAAAGTTCATTTGTAAAAGTACTTTCGTAAAAATGTTTTTATAAAAGTAATTTTGTAAAAGTGCTTTTATAAAAGTATTTTCCTAAAAGTGCTTTTGTACTTTCATAAAARTGCTTTCATAAAAGTTTTTTCGTAAAAGTGCTTTCATAAAAGTTCTTTCGTAAGAATACTTTCATAAAAGTACTTTCATAGAAGTATTTTTGTAAAAGAAAGTACTTCCATAAAAGTGCTTTTATAAAATACTTTCATAAAAGTGCTTTTGTAAAAGTGATTTTATAAAAGTGCTTTCGTAAAAGTACTTTCATAAAAGTGCTTTTGTAAAATACTTCTATAAAAGTGTTTTCGTAAAATTGTTTTCATAAAAGTGCATTCATGTAAAAGTATTTTTATAAAGTGCTTTCGTAAAAATACTTTTATAAAAGTGTTTTCATAAAAGTGAACATCTATGGCAACAGTTTTATATGTAGAGTTTCCTCATAATGAAATGAACAAGATGGGGCATGATTATTTTTCATGCTATAGGCTAGTCAATTTTTTTGCTATGGGGCTGATTTTTCATTTTAAAAAGAATGTGGCCCTTGGCAAGAATTTTGTAACCAAACACTCTAATGTTATTCATTCTTGCCCATTCTTGCATAGAATAAGCACAAATTAAGAGAATGAAGTCCAGAACAGTGAACCAAATATGACCTCAGTGTCTTTAGAGCTCAGTAATTTATTAGGTGGTGATAGCAACCCAAATTTTCCTCAAGGTATGGTGAATGCGGGGAAGCCAAAGTGTTCCTAATTGGGACCTTATTCCTAGTGATCAGCCTGCTATCTTGGGGCATGTTAGGTGTTTGGGAAAATGACACTACAAGAAATTTGGTTTTTAAGGACCAATAATTTATATTCTATCTTTAGTTGGTTTGAATTGAATATAGTATTTTTATAAGGAGTCATTGGTTCAAGTTTTATGCAGTTTATTTTTAACATATTTTGTGTCATGATATACAAAATAGTTGCCATTTTTAGTTAATTATATCAATAATTTATTATAATATTTTGATAATTTTATTATTAATGCCATGCATACATTCAATATCCAGCTTTTAGTCCATTATAAATCCAGTGAATAAAATTAAATTTGAATTCGAATATAAATGAGCCAAACCCATTTGATTCGATTCATTAGGAGGCTAAATGGGGACTTATAATAAGCAAGAAAAGAAAATAGAAAAAAGAAAAAAGGCTCCGCAGATTTTGAGATGAGAAGTATGTATTTATAGCGAATAATGGTATTTACAGCCTATAAAGTATAAATTGGTTTTGATCGTTTTCAATCTGGGGATGAATCACTCAATTGGGACCCCAACAACTCAAGTACATAACTTTTCTTAGCGATTCTTCTGATTGCTTCATGTGCTGCTGCTGGTCTGTCAAGGCCTTCTTACCCATCATTGCCATGGCTGAGGAGGAGGAAGAGATGTTCCTGCCGGCCTGAGAGAACGATGGGAGGAGGACAATATTGTTCTTGGCGTGCTGGTGGAGACATCTCAGAGTGTAAGTCCATCTACAGATACCCTGATCTTTCAATGCCTCAACTGCTCCAACGCTGGCTGCCACAATCCATGCTCTGCTCGTTGAACTCATCTTCCTTTTAATTAATCTCTTCTCTTGAGTCTGCTGTTTTCTTGGTAGCTAGTGATTAATAATGAAGAAGGAAAAGCTTGTTGATATGAATTCTTAGCCCAGGATATATAGCTTTTATATACAGATATGTATGAGATCGACAATTCTGGGAGTTGGGAAAAAAACCAGAGGCGATGAGGTGGTTTTGCTGGTGGTTTGGGAAAGAGTCCAAAGTGGCTACTTGTTTTAGAGAAGCCCCACAAAGAAACCAGACAACTGAGAATAAAAATAAAGAAAGAGAAGGGGCTGGGCCAGGGGGAAAGAACCTGTAGTCGAGCTTCAGGAATTATTACAGCTCACGGGAAGGTTTGATGGGTCGGTGGACCCTGGTACAACAGTGCTGGTGTCGTCCAGCGCCCAGTTTTCCTGAAGATCTTCTTGTGGCCAATAATGTTGGAGATGTTGTCACACTCACTTCCATGAAAACCGAATTTTTCTTCCGAATGAATAGCAGAGACAACCACCTTTGGCTTTGTCGAGTAGCAATAACCTGTAATGTCGTACAGTACAAGTGTACAACAAAATGAATAAACATGGTCCCATGCATGKTTTTTAAAACCGACCCGGTGACCTAACCGGTCAGGGGTCCGGTTACTGGGTCGAATGGTTCGACCATTCAAAAGGAATGCTCAGCCCGAATGCATACATATGTATAATTTTAGAGTGGGTTCATTGACCAACCTGAGCTTGGCCTGGGCCCGAGCTCAACCCAAATGCATCAAACTATAGTGCGAGTTGGACTCAAGTTGAGAAAATTGGGCTTGACCTTGGGCTCGGGCCTTATGCCCAAGTTTTAGGGTCGGGCCTGGGTTGACCATAAACCCGAACCAATCCACCCAACTTGCACTCCTTGGGTTAGGCTATAATTGATCTACTCAACTAACTGCTTACGGGCTGGGCTGCCCATGGGCCCGTACGACTCACATTAATATTAATAATAATAATAAATAAATAAATATAGATAATTATGTGTTTATATAAAAATATATTTTTTAATCTCTTCCTTAAAAAAAAGATGCTAGCCAATGCACCATTCCCTCACCAATTTATTTATTTATTTATTTATTTTGAAAATAAACATAAATGTACTACACACAACGGGAGTACTACGTCCCCAAAAGTCGATAGAACAAATAAGAAGAGAAAAGATGCTAAAATCTAGAGAAGAAGAAGAAGAAGAAGAAAGAGCCTGCCGAGCCAGTCAATCAATTGCTTGATTTGCCTCTCTGTAAACATGTTGATAGTGAAGATCTCCATCGAACATATCCCTCTTCCATAAGTAGCTTGAGATAGTACCTTCCAGCTTCCGAGGAACATCCACCTTTCTTTTGAGGCAGGAGATGGCAAGAGACGAATCTCCTTCAATGATGATAGGAAACCCCCCATAGTTTGTAGCTAGGACATGGGCTTCTCATGCCGCCCATGCTTCAGCCTGGTTAATGGAACAAGTACCAAGCTTATATGCTTTGACCGCTAACACCTTACCATAATGGTCCTAGACAATATAGGCCATTGAACATTTTCCATCACTATTGCGAGAGGCATCAAAGTTTATGTTAACAAAACCATATTTTGGAGCTTTCCAACAAATTTGTTTCCCACCTCTTGTGAGAAGTGAAAGAGGTACTGAATTTATTCCCATAAAAAATTTCCATGAACATATTTAGCGTTTTATCTAACATTATTGGAATGGGATTAGTACCCCCATTGAAAGTTTTGGAATTCCTATTTTTCCAAATCACCCATAAAATGAAAGCTAGTTTTTCYTTGACGAAAAGAGTTTTGCTTTCTTCTTTAGTGCACATTCTTATCCACCAGCCCCTTAGATTTTCATTTTCCTTTAGCCCTTCCAAGGGAGTGTTTAAAGTTAGCCAAACTTGTTTTGTGTGAACACAAACTTTAAAAATGTGTAGTATCTTTCTCAAGCACACAAAAACTGCAAGCGCCATCAATATTAAGCCCCTCACCAATTTATCGTGTTGAGCCACCACAACTGACATTACGCCTATAATTTGAAATTAATATCCATAACTATGGAAGAAGGGAAAAGCTCCTCAAAATCTATATCTAGAGATATATAATACAAAGAGATGTGTGTGGAGAGGCCAAGAGTCTCTAACCAAAGGCTTCCCTCACATGGAGTTTCCCTTCTCTCTTTCTTCACACATGTGAAATATTGAAACTCTTATATCTTACTTTTATCTTTTAAAATCTATCATGAGTCTTATATAATAAAATCATTCTAAATTTTCTACTCCTTTCTTCAATAGTCAATCTCCACCCACTAAATCCCTTATTTCCTATTAAATATCTTTGAAACTCTTTTGGCTCGTTCTAATAAAAGACCGGTATAAATTAGAAGGGTTGAATTGAGTTTAAGGGTTAACCCTAGACCAACCTAAAACAAGAACCTTCGCCTAGAACCAAATTGATGTTTAAACCTAAATTTGCTTGTCCAAACCTATCCAAATTTCTATTCAACCGCGTACATTTGAATGAATTCTACCAGTTGGTGGCCTTCTCCTCCTTTTCACCAGTGAGGCAAAGAGACCACAAGAGTTGCAGCATCCAATGAAATCTGAGTTCAGATCTGAAAAGTTAATAGCTTTTAGGTCTTGCTGCTTTACCAGCTCTAGATCTAGATTTGAGTGGATTCATAAATAAGATAATTCAGTCCATCTTAATATAGCCCAAGTCAAACCAAACCCTGATATACATATATATGAAAAAAAATATGGACTGCTTCAATATTTAAACATTTCTACAAACACATATCCATGAATCCATTTTTCTCATTTTTCTTTTATTTTTTTTATTTAGCTTTTATAATAAATAAATTTTCCAATTTAATAAATAGAGTATTGAGTCAATACTAAAATAAATAATAGATAATTAATGCACAGTTCAATTAATGACAATGAGACGGGATCTGCTCCTCACACATGGCACTTCACACTGACCTCACAGGCATATCCCAATGTGCATTGGGAACATCTCCAGTGCTTATGTGTTATTATTTACGGAAGATGTTCCTAATACACGATGAGATGTGCGCGTGAAATCGTTGTAAGGCGCTCGCTGTGAGGAGCAGACCCCACCTCAATGACAATGGCTACTAAAGTCTTTTGGTTACTTCAAACTTTTTAAGAAAAAAGTAAGAAAAGTAAAAAAAAAAAAAATGAGTATCCCAAAGAACAAAGAGTAAATCTCCCAATTCTCTTCTTTATTTTGCATATATTAGACCTACCCACTCTTACAATGCACAATGGTCGACATAAATACATTAAACTACCTTGCAATAACCCTATCAAGTTTATCTTCCCCTAAATACTCTCTCCTAGATAGATAGGGATAGTAGACTTGATCCTCTCTTATATATTTGAATATAAAGTTTTGAGTCTGAGTATTTCAACTAAGCTTCACATCAGCCTTTATTTCAGATCTCAACTATATTAAGGGTTGATAGATGGCACAACGGGGAGGAAAGAGAAATTGCTTAGATGGACCAAGTCCTTTGATAAGTATATAATATAGATATAAGTTTGGTAGTGTATAGTTACACCAAACATATATAATTGACAAGGAAATTTTGTGGTAATTTTAAGCTAGATTATTCCACAGAATTAAATTATGGGGTGAAGTTGGAATTGTTCACCCCATAATTCTATGAATTACTTTACTTGTCTTCATTTTTGCAGTAAGTGGAATTTGGCAAAAGGGAAATCATCTTTGTTTTAGAAGAAATTGAAATGATGGTTGAATTATATACATATTGTGTTTGGGTGGAATTGATAATGGCAGTCCATGGAGGTAAAACAAGTAGTTCATTCTGGAAAGGCGGAAAAGGAATTCAACTCCAAATCCACAACCAACGTTAAGTGGTTATAAGGAAATAAGGCTGCGGTTGGAAACGATGTAAATAGATTGTAAATTCCGGTTCAGAGTAAATTTGCATTCTGTTTCACTTTTGCTTGTGTTTGGTAATATTATATTTTTGCATTGATAAATAGCAGACCGATGCATATTTACATTGATAATAAGATGTAAAAGTATATCAATAAAAAAAGCATATGCTTTATTGGAATTCACGTTTACATCCATTATAGCTAAAGGTCTRTTTGGTAAGAAGGTAAAGTCGTTCATGCAAATAAGTTCACACTTATTTGCATCCTTTCTGATGTAGGGTGATTTCGACCTTGTGACACGGGGACACGTGTATATGACCTGGCACAAGCGACAAGTCAGCGTGGTAGCCTGACCGCAACTCGGCGTAACAAGCTCACCGAGGCCCAACCAAGCGACTTGGCGGGTGTGACAACTCGTCGAGAAGCAAAGCCCAGTTTGCCCCAAGCCTGAAAGCAGAGCTACCCGAGCTCCCCCATGCAAGGGGACCCGATCTCCCCCTAAGGGGCCCCAAGCTCTCCCTTCCTAAGAAGGGGACACCCCGACTTTTGGTTAAGTGTCCCGAGGGAGAAACACCTCAGGGCAGCACCGTCGAGACTCCTGTTCAAACTTGCTTAAGGCCCCAGTGCGAGCAACTCGGTGTACCTTGGCACCTCGGTGCTAAGAAGGGAGCACCCCGGTTTTTGGCTAAGTGTCCCGAGGGAGAAACACCTCGGGGCAGCACCGTCGAGACTCCTGTTCAAACTTGCTTAAGGCCCCAGTGCGAGCAACTCGGTGTACCTTGGCACCTCGGTGCAAGGCAAACCTGCCCCAGGTGGTTCAGTGTATGGTAGCTCGGAAAACTGCAGGGAGATCTGCCTGACATCTATGCCTGCCTGACATCCGTACCCACCGGATGCAGTGGCAGTGCTCGGATCCCTTACCAGGCGACATTCTGCCCGCCATCTCTGAAAAGCATGGCACGCCTGTCGGGTCCGTACCTTGCAACAGCAGCCTGCACCTTCCGCCCCTGCCCTGGCAGTAATGGCTAGGGCAGTGGCGGTTATGCCTGATGTGACCGAGCTCCGGTATAAAAGGACCCCAACCCTCACAAAGTAAAGGTATTGAAGCTAGCACTTTTAGCACTCTTAACTCTCTGTGTGTCCTCTTTAAGTTTCC